TTTGTTTGACAAATCATAATTTATAATTGGAGATAAAGAAAATAATTAATGTTTTTAAACAATCTTTAGTTATTGGAGTCCTAACAGACGATTATATTAATGCAGTATTTTGTAATCACACTTGATGGATACACAGTGAGAATACTGTTCTGGTGTAATCACCAGGTGGTCTAATCAGATCATGACTTACAAGTGTATGTTCACTTCTTTACCTTTCCCTGAGGAGACCATCTGAAATCATTCGAGTCACATCCACATCAAATGAAAGACTTGGGGGGGGGGGGTCCTTTTCCTTAAGTTACTTGCTATTCAAGTAATTTCTTTTTAGTAAATACTTTTGTACTCAAGAAGTTAGTTTGATGAACTCTTTTACTTCTACGGGAGTACTTGTTTTTGTAAAGTAACAGTACTTTTACTTGAGTACAGTTTGGGCTGCTCTGCCCACCTCTGACTTTAACAGGCCTGTAGATGATGAGCTGAGTTGTGATCAACATGTTGCCAACAGACAGACGTCATGTTGAATAAAAATAAATGTGTTTTCTGTGTAACTGTCTCGTTGTTAGAAACCTGCCTGTCAGGTCACACAGTCCTCAGTCTTTTAGAGAATCAGAAACCTAATCATCTGTAATAAATAAAGCTACCTTTGACAAAGTTTTCGAGGTAAATATATTTTATATTTTGTTCAGAAAACCAGGAGCTCTGAGACTTTAATGTGACGACACAAACAGTTGGAACATGAAAAAGGTCAACAAGATCAATATTTAAAAAACCATTTAAACACTTCAGCAGACGTCAGGAGACAATTAAACTGGAACTTTCTGTAATAAAGAGTTCACAAACTAAGAGAGTCTTTCTCAGTTTTATTTTCACACTTCAAACTTCAACAGAGTTTCAGGCTGAGAGCAGCTTCCTCTCTCTGCAGCCTGTTTTTACAACATTTAGAAACTTCCTCTGGTCTGGCTCTGTGGTCTCGTCTCTGTAGCAACCAGGAAACACGTGACAGGAGAGGAAGTACATGCAACTATTTTTCCACTGCGCCACAATGACTCTATTCATACAAGCTGCACTGAAATATGAACACTGAGCTCTACACGCTCACCTGAGAAATATGAACATGACTCAGAGAGAAATCTAATGAGAAAACAGATCATTCAGAGTTTGAAGCTCTGAGTTCAACAGCAGCTGAAACACTTTGCCTCCACATTTGGGATTCAAATCAGTTTTTATCTTCTGCAGACTGGATCATGAGGGAGTTTATCCTGCTGCTGCTCACAGACAGACAGAGAGTTAAAGATTCACTGCAAAATGGCTTCTTATGTGGAGTCTATTCTTAATCAGTGTGACTCAGATCTGCGGTTTCCCCTGATAGTTCCTCTCTAGTTGGTTGTGCTGGTAAAGATAACAATGAGGTGTTAGTTTCCAACTTACATCGTGTCCCTGAAAGTACCACTGACACACTGAAGCTGTGTTGTGATGAACTGCTTTTCAAAAACAAATTACTAAAAGGGATTAATAGTAAATATTTCTGCAGGAATCAGCCTGTCATGTTACATTCAGGTCACAGCGTTCAGCTTCAGAGATCAAACACACCTGCTGACCTTTGACAAACACAGAATGAACCTACCGTCTCTCTCTGACACCATCAGAGGTCATGAGACAAAGAAATTACCTTTAAAATGTGGACGGAAAGATATAAACACGACCCTGAGAGAAAACCAGTCAGCAGCCACAAGGTGACATTTCAGACAAGGTGTTTAAATAAATGATGATCCAGCAGAAACATGATCAAAGATGGCTCCTCTGAGAGACACAAGATCCTAAATGAGAGTCGAGTGGAGACTCTGCTCAGGAGACAATCTGTGACTGAAGGAACATGAAGGTTTTATCTTGTTCACATGCAGCTGCTGTGTAGAGACTGAGCTCTGTGAGAGGAACAAAAGCCTCCATGTTAACAGCTGCAGTCAGAGGACCAACAGGAAACATTCAGAAGTGAGAATATACAGCAGCCAAACATTCATCATACAGAACATTTGAGTCTGAGGTGTTGCTGCTGGGAAATACAGCTCGGGACTTTTGTCATGTGAATCATTTTCACGACCACAGAAACAAAAACAGTCACAGCTATTCAGCGTGATTCTGTTTACGCAGCAGGTGGAGATCATGTTTCTGTTTATGTGTTCAGTTCAGTCTGACAGAAACAGAAGATCTGAACTCTCAACTTGGTGTTTGATATAAAACTTCAGATATAAATGAATAAAAGAGCAGCAGTCTGTTCTCATGTTAGTTTCTACCCAGCAGCAGTGAAGACGAAGAACTGAACCCACATCCTGATTCAGACTGAGACGTGGGGGAAGGGGAAGTTACAATGAGCTCAGTGCTGCTTCATAACAAACTACTCCCTCTGAAAGTCCCGCCATTTTGTTCTTTGTCGCCCAGACAGACATTTAGAGCCAAACTGACTTTCCTCTCTCAGCTCCAGAGTTAAAGAAGTTAATGATCCTGCTTTTCAGGTTTTATTGACTCTTGGTTTCATCTGCTCTAGAAGCAGGACGCTGTTCAAAAGTCAACAAATAACTGACATGAAGTCTGTTTTTATATTGATATAAATGGAGAAGTCAGACTGGACTGTGAGCTTGATTTGAAAAATGCTTTGGAGAGGAACTCTGATCATTTCTGGTGAACAACTGGTGGAAAATGACCATTAATCTGAAATCTGTAGGTTACTTCAGAGAAGCTTTATTGGCAAGAAAAACAGACGTTTACATTGAAATAAAATAATCCATTGTTGAATAAAATCATGTTCAGAGTGTTAACATGTTACTCTGCAGAATAATATTTTACACGAAGCATTAAGATTTAACTGCCAACATTATGTAAAGTACTTACGCTTAGCTAATACTTGTGTACTTTCACTTAACATTTTGAAAGAAGGACTTTTACTTTATATTTTCTTAATATTGTGTTTTAAACAGTCAAATTCAAGACTCTGTCTTAACGTCTTCTCTTTTGAGACAAAGTCAGCTTATTTAAACACATGCAAAATTAAGAACTATTCACATTTCTGATTAATACATAATAGCTACATATACATACAGGGATGGGCAAAAATACATCAAAATGTATTTTAAAATAAAATTACAAATACTCAGAAACTGTCAGTTCTTTTAAATTAAGACTGAAGAATTTTCTTTTTACCACTGCCTTTAATTAAATCCATAGATTGGTAACTTCCACTGCACTGTAACGTCTTTTTCTTTGTTTTTAGCTTTTTATCATTGCTTTTAATTAATTATTTACTTTTATATAAAAATATTTATTTGAGAAATAAGTAGGTAGTTGAGTGAAAAGATAATGAGAGTGAGATTGAACAGAGTGAAGGAAGTGGTCTTAAATCTTGTGCCTGAGTGATTTGCAGGAACCTCTGTCCACCTGTAAACGCACAGGTGGGTCCAGAGTATAACTGGATCAAAGTGGCCTGCTGACAGACATGTTCTGGTTTCTCTGTAGTGTCCGAGGGTTTTTGGAGTTTCAGTGGACCCAAAGATTGCAGTGGACCCGAGTACAGACTAGCTAGAGAGAGTAGATTAAGTGTACTTCTCCGTTTATTCTCTGTTCAAAATAATTGTAACTCAATTATTTGCTCAACCGCTCAGCCTGTTTTTATCCAGTTTAAATACATGCATTTTAAATACTACCCATCCCTGAGTACATGTATATATGTTTATGGTATTTAAGCTGCATCAAGGAAAGCTGAGCAGAAACACGTGCACGTTATATTTTGAATAAGCCAAGATCAAGACATTTCTCTTGAATTATGCTCTATGAGAGCTTTCTAAAGATCATAAAACCAACAAGAGCGAACACACCACCTGTCTGTGAAACATTTCTCTCCTATCTCCTCCCTCCTTGTTTCCTCCCTCCTTGCATCCTCCCTCCTTGTCTCCTCCCTCCTTGTCTCCTCCCTCCTTGTCTCCTCCCTCCTTGTCTCCAGCTGTGTGACCTGCAGAGCAGAAACAGGTGTGAGGTATCAGCTGTCAGCAGGTGGACAGAATGTCAGACATTATCTACTGCACTTTGATCACATGACTCGTAGCAGCTGTTTCCTCTAAAGTCTCATCAGCAACATCTTTCTAAAACACAAACATCTGATCTGTGATGTTTCTCAGCTCAACTACCAGGAGCCTTTATTACGAAACAAGTTCAACATGCCCAGGATGTCTTTTTGTTATCTGGCTTCACTGACACTAACAACCACAATCAGGCTAAATGGTCACATGATGCTGGTTATTAACCTGATAATTCAACACAGGGTTTCCAAATCCAGCCCTGAGCGCGTTGCCGTTAAAGAGGCTAATAGTAATAATGGCGAAAGACTGCATCTCAATATTTACTGAATACGTCCCTACATAACAAAAAGTACTCTGTAACATAAATGAAACCCATAGTTAAAATAAACTAATTCATACATACTTAATTACAATAATCCTACCAAACTATGTTTATAATATTCAGCCTCAGATAAAGAGAAAACGGCTGTGACAGGCTGTGTGAAACAGACTAAGGAGCAAATAAGAAATATGAAACATATTTCAAAGAGACGCGTAAGCTCACTGTCACATGTTAAACACCTACAACAAGTAGCCTACAAGGTTTTAGTGGCCTGCTTCAGTCAGTCTGTGTAGGATGCTAGGGCTGCATTAAAGTGTCTCCACATCACCACAGCAAACATGAAGCAGCCTGTAAATCAGTCTGTGTGATTTCCTACAGATGGTGATGTCATTTTCCAGAGAGCTGACTGGTCAGTAGGCGGACAGTGTTTATAGAGTTGATCTCTTATCTGGAGCAGGTTAGCCGTTCAGCATAAGTTACCATGGCGATCTACCCCGGTAAGAAGTGAACCATCGTCATGGTGCTGAAAACCCCGAAGTTACCTGGATAAGCTCAAATCCTGCTTCGTGGTACAGAGAGACAAAGAGACACTCTGAGCTCGACACACTCACCTGGATCTGTCAGCCTGATGTTGGAGAGTTTAGGGCGTCTGTCTCTCCTCCTGTGTGAGGCGTCTCTCCTCCTGTGTGAGGCGTCTCTCCTCCTGTGTGAGGTGTCTCTCCTCTGCGTTTTTTAAAGAGCATCGTTCCAACAACAGCAACAAGAAGCACAGCAACAACTGGCAGACCGACCATCAGGCCAACATTTCCCTTCTTGTGTCCATCTGTGTGAGAAGCAGAAACAGGTGTGAGGTATCAGCTGTCAGCAGGTGGACAGAATGTCAGACATTATCTACTGCACTTTGATCACATGACTCGTAGCAGCTGTTTCCTCTAAAGTCTCATCAGCAACATTTTCTAAAACACAAACATCTGATCTGTGATGTTTCTCAGCTCAAATACCAGGAAGCAGCTTCACCTGAGAGACAAAGAGACACTCTGAGCTCTACACACTCACCTGAGAGACAAAGAGACACTCTGAGCTCTACACACTCACCTGAGAGACAAAGAGACACTCTGAGCTCTACACACTCACCTGAGAGACAAAGAGACACTCTGAGCTCTACACACTCACCTGAGAGACAAAGAGACTCTCTGAGCTCTACACACTCACCTGAGAGACAAAGAGACTCTCTGAGCTCTACACACTCACCTGGCTCTGTCACTGTCAGCTCAATGGCGCTGATGGGTTCAGCGTCTCTCTTTCTGCGTCCTGAGTTTCTCTCTTTAATCCAACACTCATATGTTCCAGCGTCGTTGATGTTGACGTTCTTCAGAATCACAGAAGCGTTTCCGTTCTTCTTCTCTGGATCTTGAAGCTCCACTCGACCCTGAAACAATGAATTCTGGTACTCTCCGTTTATTTTATCAGGGCTGAGGTAGAAGACATAATCACCTGGCTTCAGGTCAGGTCTGATCCACTTTATCACTACTATGTCAGCACCTCTGTGACTCTGACACTGAAGAGTGGCGTCCTCTCCAGGCTTCACCTTCACCTCCTGTGTCTCTGAACAGAAAGAGAAAAGCCTCCAGTCAGGACTTGTAATGTTTCCTGTTGTTCAAACATCTTTTGATGGAAGCAGCAGAGATCAGGTCTCTATAAAACAGCACATGTGAACTCAGCAGCATTTCAAACCCTGTTCTCAGACAACTTGAGTCCCAGCTGCAGAAAGGAGAGACTAACTCCTCTGCTGCAGCTGCACGCTGACTTCATGTTGCTCATTTCTACAGCTGTCAGTCAAGTCGTCCTCCGCACCATCAGACAGGAGACATTTTACTTTCATCTGCTTTCTGCTTGTTTGGAGATTATTGATTATTGATATTATTTCCCATCTGAATACAGACATCAGCATTTCTGACAGCTGAAATATTAAACATGTGAAGTTTATTATTTCCTAGAAGCTTTGAATCTTTGTCCTTGTTTTCCAAATGTGTCCCCAGTCTGTCCGTCCTCCGTCTGTCCGTGCCAACCCCCCTTCTCCCCAGGCCTGTTGGTCTATTCAATTAGAATTCAACGAGCTCCAGATAGAGAAAATTTCCCGAAGCAAAAGTCTGGAACATCAAAAACGACTAACTTGCGTTATCATTCAGGGCCATAACGTATAGTTGTGTCAACATATGTTTTTATCAACACCGGACTGTCAAATCAAATAATATTTCAAGAATATTTACTTTCAGTTTTCACATCAAACTGGAGGGATAATAAATAATAACTACTCTAATAATAAATTCTAAATTTAAGTGAACTAAAATTAAGTGCCTAATTTTTTAAATTTAGAAAAAAATGTAATAAAAAGTGCAGCTTGAAGTGATGTCTTAACCAATTTTATAATGAACACATCTTAACATATGAACAGCTGTAATACCTCCTCTTCTCTTTCCTGCCCTCTTATAAACCTCTTTCCTACTTTCTCTTGTTCAGTGAGAAACGTGAGCTCTAGTTTGTCCTGCCAGCTAGGATTGGAGATCTATGACAGATTCTGGTTTTAAACTTCCGTGGGAGGAATGTACATGTAAGAATCTGTACACTCTTGATTAAAACCCATGTGAAATCTCTTTTCTCTTTCACCTCTTCAATTCGTGTGTGTTTCCAAAACGTCTGGTGAATCTCGCGGACTCGACTCGCAAGCATCGGAATGCACAGATATGATTGGCTGAGCAACGTCACACGAGACGATTGGAGCACATGCGATTGGTCTGCGAGTTTCCTGGTCCGCTAAACCAGTACAGTAAATGCTAGAGAAGCTGCGCGGGTTAAAATAGAAACGCTCCGTAACCAGGTGGTATGTCTCAATAATAAATCGGCTGTAGGTCGGTGGTCCGGAGAGGACAACAGCTGGGTCCGGATCCGGACCGCGGTCCGCCTATTAGTGACCTCTGGTCTATTCCACATGGAAGTTTACGCAGCCCTTAGCCCCGCCCATCTCACTCACCACAGTGACAGCTGGAAAACCAGCTGGAAGTCGTTGCAAAGTGAATACGGCGACCTGCACAGATCAAGTGTAGGCAGATAAGTGTTATTTACACTGTACTTAATATTTTAATAAAAATCAGTAGAATTGTGTTTCTGCTTTCTGCCATGACTTATACGAACCAATCAGAGAGCCGAATGTGAGCGTCTGCGTCATCGTTTCTAAAGTCCTCTGTTGTTGCCCGTCTGCACTAAAAACGCTACCCGGAGTTTTGAAACGCAAAACGGGTTCAGCAGCTTTTCCAAACTTCTACATTTTGGTTCTACATTTTCACCGTTTTAGTCTGAACGGGAGGTGCAAACGTGGAAAAAGATCTGTTTTAAAATGAAATACACGCTCACCTGTCACTGTCAGCTCGATGGTGCGGATGAGTTTAGCTTGGCCTGGATTGTTTCTCTCTTTAATCCAACACTCATATGTTTCAGCGTCGTTGATGTTGACGTTCTTCAGAATCACAGAAGCGTCTCCGTTCTTCTTCTCTGGATCTTGAAGCTCCACTCGACCCTGAAACAATGAATTCTGGTACTCTCCGTTTATTTGATCAGGGCTGAGGTAGAAGACAAAATCATCTGACTTCAGGTCAGTTCTGATCCACTTTATCACTACTATGTCAGCACCTCTGTGACTCTGACACTGAAGAGTGGCGTTCTCTCCAGGCTTCACCTTCACCTCCTGTGTCTCTGAACAGAAAGAGAAAAGCCTCCAGTCAGGACTTGTAATGTTTCCTGTTGTTCAAACATCTTTTGATGGAAGCAGCAGAGATCAGGTCTCTATAAAACAGCACATGTGAACTCAGCAGCATTTCAAACCCTGTTCTCAGACAACTTGAGTCCCAGCTGCAGAAAGGAGAGACTAACTCCTCTGCTGCAGCTGCACGCTGACTTCATGTTGCTCATTTCTACAGCTGTCAGTCAAGTCGTCCTCCGCACCATCAGACAGGAGACATTTTACTTTCATCTGCTTTCTGCTTGTTTGGAGATTATTGATTATTGATATTATTTCCCATCTGAATACAGACATCAGCATTTCTGAGCCTGAACAAACAGCTGAAATATTAAACATGTGAAGTTTATTATTTCCTAGACTTCTCCGTTTTGGTTCTACATTTTCGCCGTTGTAGTCTGAACGGGGAGGTGCAAACGTAGAAAAAGATCTCTTTTAAAATAGTAGTCCTAGTGTGGATGGGGCCTGAGGTAACATTCTTTGTTTGGAGAGGTGTTTAACTAGTTTTTTTATTATGCGTACTCCCTGGACTTAAAGCCAACCAGCTGACCCTGAGCAGAAAGTTCTTTGTTTCAGTGAGGATTGTGGACTTTTTATCTCAAGGTGAGTTCAATCATGACAATTTCAGTGTGTGGTCTTCCGCCATTTTAAAGTAGTACTGACATAGTGATCCATGGCTGTGAAGCTGCTTGGTGGTTTAGTAGAGGCTGGTCCTGTTTGTACGTGCGTGCATTAGCAGGGCGGCCGGAGTACACATTAAACTGTTAGGTGGGCTGGTCTGGATCCAAGTCCAGGGCTTATACTTACACCCAGTCCGTCCCTCGTGGTGAAGACACAAGTCTAGACAAGTCAATTTAAACTTTAAACATATCCAAAGTACACACATTTTAATCAATAATATAATTTTGTAAGGATTGCAATGTTATATTCAATTTATATATATATATATATATATATATATATGAAAGATCGATCTCTCTCTCAATATTGTTATCACGAGTAATTGCTGTTTTAACTGTTCAGACTATTAAATCAGTAAGTTAAATAACTGCAGTAAAATTACACAACGTTTCACACATTTCTTTCCTAACGATCATTTGAGAGAAGATTTACATTTATTAATTTAGACGCTTTTATCCAAAGCGACTTACAATTGCTATACATGTCAGAGGTCGCACTCCTCTGGAGCAACAAGGGGTGACACAATGCGGAACTGAACCCCGGTCTCTCACACAAAGTGCATGTGTCTCATCCACTGCGCCATTACCAGCTTCGATAAATCCATATATCTCTGTTCATCTACCGGCTTTCCTTAAAAAAACCTCTGTAGCCTACTAACGTTACACATCATCAACGACTGTTATGTTGAGAGGTCTAATGTCTCATCTGTTGTTTTGTGATATCTGGGTTTCAAGCTGCTGTATCTCTGTGAAACACACACACACTCCTCTTACCTTGACACAGAACAAAGATCCATGAACATGCAAACAAAACCACGAATGACGCAGATGTTAAAGCGACCATGATGGCAGAGCCGCAGCAGGTGTCGAAGCTGAAACCAAACTGACTTCTTCTTCCTGCTCTGGGGCCAAAGTCCTTACATCTATCTGTAGTTAGAGCGGATCCGCCCAACGGGGGAGGGCGGGGGGGTCACGTGATTCCCAAGAAGGCGAAGCTGTTGTGGCTGCATTCAGGTTGTGTCAGACGTTCAGATTTTGAGAAATTTTTTACGAAAATATTTAGGTGGGGCTGTGCCACATCCAGTCAGTTTCAGTAACCGTCCCAATACAATTTAAAACTAACTGCAGGATACCAGTGCTTTGTTAAATTGTCAGAAATGATGAATGGCAATATTATTATAGGCTATTAATATACAAAAACATAAACAGTGTACATAAACATAGAAAGTGGCATGAAAAGAAAATACTCAAGTACAAATAGGCTACCTCTAATTTGGACTGCAGTACAGTAGGCCTACTTAAGTTACTGTCCACCACAGGAAATAACCAGTCTTATCTTAACGACTCCGCTTGTAATGTCAACTTGACATTACAAAAACTGCATTATTTTTTCATGTTTCAGCTCCAGCTGCATACAGTAGGCAATGTGAAATCTTTTGTTGTTTGTACTTCAGTTTCCTTTTTACTGTAAACTGTTGCGTTTTTTCAGATTTTGAGAAAGGAGAGGCTGGATCCGATGAAAATTAACAAGAAAATTTAATTATAAAATAGGTGAATAAAAGATGGCATTACAGAACAAACATGAAACAAAAACACTGCAGTGGAAAGTTGTTCCTCTTTTCAGATTTTCAGCTTACAGTCCTGATTCTCACAAAATGAGTCATTAATATCCTCCAGGTATGTGGGCGGGTCTTTTTCTTCCAAATGGCTCAGGACCACAGCCGTTGGTCGTTTGGTTACTTCTTTGTCACCCAATTAGGAAGGTTGTACCTTACTGTTCTACATTGCTTTTGGTCGAACAAAAGCGTCGACCCCAGACGTAGAACCCCCTTTTGATCTACAGGAATACACAGTCCTTGCTCTACCAACTAGTCATACAGCACAACAGGGGTTGTCTCCAAAACGGTCGATACCCAATCTTAGGAGTCTGTGAAGAAGTTTTCGTTCTAATGCAATTGTCTGGCTTAAAATCCTGCAGTTTTACATTTGAAGGAAAACACTGAAACACTGGAATACATTAAGTTTGTTGTAACTTTTTAAAACTCAACAAAACCACCCTACAATTTGGCTTGAGGAGTCTAATGTGTGCATTTTTGGGCCAAAACACTATGTAAAAGTGAATGAGTCATCTTTACTGTATAGAATGTAGAGTAGGAAAAAGATGTAAGAGATGAGAAGAGAAGTAAAACTGTTGTGGTGGCAGCCCGGCTGATGGTGAGTGTCCTGTTTTTTTTCTCCTTTTTATCAGTAATTCTTCTTTTTCCTTGGTTTTCTGTTCCCTGCCTGCCTCCGTGTTCTCTCTCTCTCTCTCTCTCTCTCTCTCTCTCTCCCTCCCTCCCTGCTCCTGAGCCCAGCCAACGACCTGCATCTCATCAGCCACCTCGTCAACCTGCCACACCTGCCAGTAATCAACCTCATGCCTGCCTGTATTTCAACCCCGGTTCTCCACACCATTCCCAGTCTCCTCGGTTCCCCGTGCCTGTGTTTCCCTGGCATCCACCTCCCTCCCCTCCAGTCCCTCTACCCCTTTTTCCCCTCAATAAACCTCAACTCTGACAAAATGAGCAAGATTTTATTAATGTCTAAAACTTCACACTCAGTTTGAACTTTTGACACATTTTAAATTGCAAAAAAACATTAATAGGTATAGGCCTACTGAGTTGGACTGTGGCTTTACAATCACAGGTCCATGAAGAGCCTAAAATGTGTCTAATCAGTTCGATTAATATTTTTATCTTCAGTTATTGCCACCGGCATTTTGTCCCGTCAGGTTCCAGCTGAATAAACAGGCCTGTGTTATGAGGTTGTGTGGTTTGGGGACAGAGAGGACCCAAAAGCAGCACTCTGAGGGAAGGAGGTTTATTGAGGGAAAAAGGGATAGAGGGACTGGAGTGGAGGGAGAGGTGGACGTCGGGGAAACACAGGCACGGGGAACACTGGGGCCGGTGACGCCGTGGGGAAGTCCGAAGAGGAGAGGGCCCACCCGAACGGAGGACGAGGGTGAGTGAACCTGGGAGGGAAACAGACAGGGTGACAAGGTTAGAGATAACGGGGACAAAGCACAGGGAAAATGTGAAAAAACAAGAAACATGAAAGCCTGAACACAGAGGTGACACCGGATATGGAGCAACGACGATCAAGCGAGGATGGTGTGGAGAACCGGGGTTGAAATACAGGCAGGCATGAGGTGATTACTGGCAGGTGTGGCAGGCTGACGAGGTGGCTGATGAGGTGCAGGTAGTTGGCTGGGCTCAGGAGCAGAGAGAGAGAGGGAGAGAGAGAGAGAGAGAGAGGGAGAGAGAGAAAGCACACAGGGGAGAAAACACAGGGAGGCAGGCAGGGAACAGAAAACCAAGGAAAAAAAGCAGAATAACTGATAAAGAGAAAAAACCAGGACACTCACCGTCAGCCGGGCTGCCACCACAACAGGGCCCCCTCCTCAATGGACGCCTACCGGCGGCCTTCCCTTTGGACAAGGCGGGGCTTGGCAGACGAACGTAGGGGGCAGGAAGTTGCACTGGGATCCGGCTGGTGGGGGTCCAGGGTCCAAAACCGAACAGGGAATTCAGGGAGGGCTTCAGGACTGGGAAGGGTTAGGGGAACGGGCAGGGCTGAACTGAAAACATAGGGTGCCTGAGAGTAGAGTTGGGGGACCAGGGAGTACAGGTAGCGAGGAGCGGTGGGAGGACAGGGAGGACGCCGTGGGGGAAGTCCGAGGAGGAGAGGGCCGGTGGATGAGCCCAGCCGACTGAACGGAGGATGAGGGTGAGTGAACCTGGGAGGGAAACAGGGTTAGGGATGACAGCGACAAGGAACAGGGAAAATGGGAAAAAACATGAAAGCCTGAACACAGAGGTGGCACCGGGTATGGAGCAACGACGATCAAGTGAGGATGGTGTGGAGAACCATCATAATCAGCAACGCTGTATAAAATGTAATATTGTTAACGTATCAATCATGCGTTTTATAGCCAATCATGGTCCGCGTTGGCCCGCATTCATTTTTCTAGCTCCACCCGATTAAAATAGAGGCTTTGCCTTTATTTACCTGTTGCCATGGTGAATCGTCGTTGACCTTTTTCATCAAGTTTATCATTTCAAGCCTGAAATATTTAATTTCATGTGTAATGAATGTAGAATATATAAAAGTTTCACCTTTTGAAAAAAATGTAAAAATAAATGAAATTTCCACTATATTATAATTTTATGAGATGCACCTGTAGATTACTTGATTACATTTTAGGTGGCAAGTTTTGAACCTGCAGCAGTTCACAACTC